CTCCTCCTCACTAGCTATGGAGTCTCGCAGCCAGCTTTGTCCATTGGAAAGGCTTGTCTGTCCGGGTGATGGGTGACACCCATCGGGGACAGTACTCGTTGAGATAGCCCATGATCATAAGTGAATTTACCCTAGTATTATCCCCTTTATTATTATAGTTTTTACCCCGTTTAACCCCGTGAAGAGTGGCGCGAGGATGGAAGTGAATCTTGCGAAATTTTTTTGGTACGTACGGAGGTCCCATACGGTATGGAACTTCCACACATATCCAAAACATTTCGTATAGAATTACCTAAAGATAGGAGGTAACCCCCCGCGATCAAGATGTTGCTATTCACAAACCCGAAATGTTCCTATCATGGCAACATCATCGGCAATGATTATTGGAAATAAGATAACAAGCTCATATGGTCTCGGTAACAACTTAGATGAAGAGACAACAAGATTAGACAACCTTGAAGAGGGTTAGAACAAGTTACTCATACGACACTGGATAAAGACGGCAAGATAAACCTCTGAGTATTGCTCTGTCACCTCGGTCACAACTTGCGCTGTTCCTAATCGATCATTAAGGCGAGCGAAAAATTAAAACTGCGCAGTTTGAGGTGACAGCGCAACTTGGGGGGGACTCTGGTGTCCTAAGGCTGACAATTGTTTCCCATTTCAGACCTAAGTATCGTCTTTATTATGAGCTTAAGCTCTCCTCCGTCCCCTCCTGATACGATACTATTACATCATCATCACTCTGAGGGACACGAAGCAGCCGGTCCGGCCATACCTGCAGCCCCTCGGCTACCCCAAGAAGAACAACTTGTGGTTATTCCGATGATGACGACGTCTGAGAGGATCCCTACACCCCAACGACAAGTATTGCCTAGTCGACCTCGAGGGCCCATCCTACCACCAGCTCCTACTCAACAACAACCACTTATGCCGACAGCAGCACAGATGGCCGCCTTCATGAATGAGCGGTATCTGGCAAGTCTACAACAGAAGTATCACCAACATCCGCCTTCACCTACTCCCAAGACCGAGTATCATCAACCATCAATCCGAGCCGATCCTCCTAGACAGCCTCAACGACAAGAAACAATAGAGTTCCCCGTCTTCACTGACCCGACTGATCTGGCTGCCAAGCTGTTCAAGGATGACGGATCCTTCAGAAGGCTTCATATGGGCTCTCGTCGTCGTGACAGTCGCTGCTCCCTACATCGACTGCTAGGGAGGGCTTGCAAGGGTAGGGGGACTCAAGTTGTCACAGAATGCGAGTTCAAGGCCAATTACGGTGTATGGACCCTCGCCGGTCTGGACCGCATCAAGAGTCTTCGGTCGAAGGGCTACACAAGCGCTCAAATATATAGCGCAGTTGAAGCGGCCGCTGGTATTGCACTACCAATGCTTGAGAGGCTTCAATATCTTGAAGATGCTCCTGGTAGTCGGATCGCTAAGGCATTGACATTGCCAGGTAAGGCGGCGAGTGGTAATGCCGTAAAGCATCACAGAGGCCCCACCAAGGCCGAACTCATGGCTATATGGGCGATGTTAGAGGTACGTCATCTGAATGAGAGGGCAAGCGAAAGTGCGCTGTGAATCTTCTTGTGACTTACGGTAAGCCGTATATCTCGCTTGCTGCGATAATGAGTAATGTATAATGTAGCTGTATTATCTCCGTATTACTCGCTGGATAGTATCCAGTAATCAACTGTAATCAATACTCATAACTCAACTTCAATCATATATCAAAGGCTTGTGTTAATACTCTTGATGGGACATCGACAAAAAGCTGTTACGGGTATACAATGATTCTCATATAATTAATCTTAATCAGGATTTCCTCGTAAGTCCTCTTATGATGACTGATGTGTAAAACTCTTATAAACTGAGTTGTGTACACTCACACTCAGATATATTCACTAAAATAAGATCAATGCTTCTTGCATCCAAGGAGGTTGTAGAATCATTAATCGGTATCAAGAGGCAGACATAATGAAGAGGACATGTTGCCGGACGGCATAATCCAAAGCTCAAAGTTATGTTAACCATTAGTTACAGATAATGCCTCTTTAATGCACTAGGATCAATCCTCCTCATCATCTCGTGTTTGGCTGAGGCTATTCTGTACCATACTTCGCAGAGTCCTCGGTCTCTGAGATGGGATTAGCCAAAAATCAGCCAAAACGTGTGTATGTAAATCTCCTCAACGGCTTGGGTAGTCAACAACACTTGGAGTGTCTACGCGTCCCCAAGCATAAGGTAGATTCAGAGAGCAGCATCTTCATGCTAAGGGCTACCCCACTATGCCAGGCCACTCATCGCAGTAGATCAGGTTGACTAGGGACCGACTGCTCCTCATTCCTTTTATTTTGATGGAACCCACACTATAAACGTGCTTTTGCGACGAAAGTTTCTGTTACTGTAACGTGGATGTGTGAAGACTAAATTTATTGATGAAAAATAGGTCGTTCTACAATGAATCAAACTATGGACATGTGCAACTACACCCACAGGAAACTCGTGCAGCTGTGGATGTACAATAAAAACACGTTTGCTACAGAAACCTCATATTATAGCAATAGAGCATTATCAAGCCTACATTGTTATCAAGCTTAACATTGAATGCAAGAAGCGAATAAGTATTGAAAAAGACTATACACCACAACATGACCAATGAGTGACGTGCATTGAGTTATTGATATTTAGAGGTCAAGATCGAGGAGACGACAGGTGGTCGCCGTTGGCCCTCTGCTGATACGAACCAGGGCGCCATTCTGAAGCTGAGTATTCGCATCTTCGTCAAAATCAATGGTAAGACGAAGATCTCCAATATCACTACGAAAGCTTCTGAATACACCCTCAACTCCCATGCTGCTTCCTAACAGAGACCTAGTCCGTATCTTACCAATTCAACCTTAAGATTCCTACCTGGACTCCTGCCCATCCTAGCATCAACCTGATTTGACATTTCCATTGTATTCCTAGCCGGGGTTTGTGTTAGCTCGGAAGGTGCAAGAGTCGACATCAGAAGAAGCCCTTCATTATTGTCATGTAATATTAACCTCTACACACGATGTTGTGTACGAGGACAATTCATGTATTGCTCGCATATTGTATATCCGTGGCATCGTTGTTCCCCAAGATATTCGAGACTGTCAGACCGGAGGGTCGATCGGTCGTATTAGTTTAGACTCCTATTGCTAACACGATTACACCAACTTACGAATATCACTGACGGTTTTTATAGACTCTTTGTCTGTATACAATTGCAATAAATATTCAAAGATGAATTTATGAAAACCTCATCACGGTTTAAGACGTTGACAAAGCAAACACAACCGAGCCAATGAGGGCAATGTGGCTTCATTTTACGATGGAGTGAGGCAGAAAATATAAAGTATTGGCCAGGACCCAGTATACTATCGCAAGTTACCTCATATCTGCGCCGCCGTAACATGAAGCATAATTCAACTACACGAGGTGTAGGGAGTAATACCAAATTATATGCGATAATCTAAGAACTCTCGATTGACTAGTAGTGTATAAAGCTGATCATACTGATAATAAACCACGATATAGTCCCTTTCATCCACCTAACACCGGTTTGGGGGAATACAACACCGGAGCTTTTCACTCTGATGTCCTTCCACACAACCTGACTGATAATTTGCGCATTTCTTGTAAATTCGTTGGTCCAAATATTTCCTCTCCAATTACACGAGTTGAGCTCTGTGATACACACCATTCGGGAGAGCATGATTTAAGTATCCTACAAAGAATATGAGACCACTCTCATCACCAACCTATATCGTGTATTGGCCGAAACTGTTGTTCGCCGTGACTGACATCAAACCCGAACGGGAATCGAAGCCGCAGTTGGTACGAAGATCAACCCAAGCCCCATTCCTTCGTCTTGAGGATCTACTGTGGACATAGTCAATACTGTACGGGAAAATATGCACATGGTCATGATATGGATCATATGAGAAAAGTTTGGGTAATTATCATTGGTTTCTGCGCATTGAATGGGAATCATGGAGTTGGAAGTTAACCTTTCAACTTGCGCGGGGAAGATCACAATCTAAATGAACTGAGCATACACCACCCTCGGGGCCTTGAACGGTTGATATTCATGCCCTCTTATTTTAGTGGAGGATGATACCTTGTGAGGCTAGCTAGTCCTTGACGTGGTAGATATTATCATACCATAACTCCCCGAGCTCACCACCTTTTGTATGAGGGGGCTGTCTCCAATGATAGTATTATTACGAACAGCATCCTCAGCAGAAGACACTCCCATATGCTATCCGACTTAGTTCCACTATGTATACACAATTCGGGATAAGAAACGAAATAAGTTACGTCATTGACAAATTCATATTCCACCGTGAGAATGTAGCCACCTACGGTATGAGACTAAGCCGCCTAGTCTAGACATGATTTTGGCAGCAGATTATGGCTGATATTAACATCCGTGACAAGACTGTGTTGAGGAAATATAAGGAATGGCTAGATTGATAAGAATGATCAAGTTACAGGAGGCTAGTTCTTGTTGTACCACCAACGACGGCCTAGCCTAGCGGTAAGCATTCGATGCACGGAAGGGATTGTCATGAGTTATACTCTTTGGTATCCTGTTTAGTTTTGATTCGGGTGTTTTCTGCTGTAAATGGGGTGATACGTCGTCGTAACCTACCTAGACTGTATCTTACATAGTTGGACCTTGGATACTCCCCCTTTCATGCCATCTACAGATCAACAGCAGCAACAGGAGGTTGGCCCTGAGGACTTTACCGATACCGACCCGGAAACACAAGCCTTCCGAGTCCCTCCAAATCAGATGATTAGGGAGGGTATGGTCCCCACCGATTTCCAAACCCAGCTTATCAGCGAACTCGACCTTGGTAAGCTGTGGAGGTATTTATCGTTGTAGGATTTTGTCCAGGTATGACCGGGAAACCTACTATGGGTGAATACGTTATTGCCAACCCTAATGACAGTTTCGGATCGAGAGTAAGTAGTCCACTTTGTTGTTTATTAAGTTACCTTCAGGACGAGTTGTTGAGGATCCTGACTGCCATTAGATTGGCCGCTAAGATTGTGAGTAGGGAGATTAACAAAGCTGGAGTATCCACTCAAGTGTTGGGCTTGGCCAACAACACTAATGTCCAAGGTAGAGTAGTAGTAGTAAGCGCCTATTGAAGGAAGTGTACCCTTTTTGTAGGAGAGGCTCAGACCAAGCTGGACGTCTTTGCGAATAAACTTTTCGTTCAGTGCTTGCGGAATAGGGATGTTGTGTGTGGTATGGTCAGTGAGGAAGAAGACGATATCATTGAGGCCGGTTCTCATCAGCAGAAGAAATCTAACAGGTGTGCATTGTCGTGTTCATTCTAATGCTTGGCGAGGTCTCTTTTGGGTAGGTATATAGTTCTGATGGATCCTCTCGATGGTAGCAGCAATATCGACGTGAATGTCCCCGTTGGTAAGTATCTTACCTTTGTATCTTGCTCTGTTATTATTGGTGTCCTGTAGGAACTATATTCTCGGTACTACGTAGAGCTTCTGAGGTCAATCATAAGCCTAAGATTGACGATTACCTCCAGAAAGGGAGGAATATAATGGCTGCGGGGTAGTAGTGAGGGTTGATATGAGTTTTGATGAGAGCTTGTCATCATGAAGATAGGTATGTCCTATACGGCTCGTCTACTATGTTGGTGATGAGTACCGGTAATGGTGTTCATGGATTCACCCTTGATCCGTCCATCGGGACATTATATCTCACTCACCCTCATATGAGGTTCCCTAAGAGCCGCAAGAATGAGTGCTATTCTATTAATGAGGGTAAGCTGCTGTGATTGATGATATCATTTAGAGACTCTTTGTAGGTAACTATAATGACTTTTCACCTGGTGTGCGGGCTTATCTTGACTTGATGAAGGAGAGGAAGGTGACTGCAAGATACGTCGGGAGTTTGGTCACCGATTTTCACCGTAACCTCATCAAAGGGGGTATCTACATCTACCCTCCAACCCAGAAGGTATATATTCCCATCTTCCTCGATTGTTGTTGGTGATCTTTTTTCCAGGCGCCTAATGGGAAGTTGAGGTTACTCTATGAAGTTGCTCCAATGTCGTTCTTAGCCGAGCAAGCAGGAGGTGCGGCGAGCACTGGTACCATTCCTTGTCTTGATGTCCAACCCACCGATATTCATCAGCGTATGTTAATTGAATGGATGCTTTGCTTCAGAGCTTTGTGTTTGCTGCTTTGTAGGTGTGCCGATGTTTGTTGGGCCGAAGTACATGGTAGAAGAAGCGGTGGAGATGGTGAAGAAGTACGACAGTTGAAGAGGAGATATGAACTATTTATTTTGTTGAATGATTTGGATTTTGCGTAACTTTTTATCTCATCCTTATTTAGTCATCCGTGACATTTTTCAAGTTAAATGTACAGTGCTCTCGAGTTCATCAAGAGGTCGATATTCGGGAAAATAATCTTCTGATCGCGAGTATGGGCTGGTGTTTTTTTTTTAATTTTGAAGGTCTCGTGGCCTAATAGATAAGGCGTTGGTCTTCGGAACCAAAGATTGTGGGTACGAGTCTCACCGAGATCGTTTCAGATATTCTATTGCTATGATCTGTTTAGAGCTGTTTGAAATTGTTCTATTCATATGGGTTACGGCGTCTTCACTTTATTCGGAATCATCTATCCGATCAACTTCTTCCTCGCCACCACCACCGTCAAGTTGGCGGTCTCGAGCGGGATTGTCGACATCATACGTTACACATTCCCTCAGCACACCTATTGGATCAGAGACCTCGACTTTGTCATCGGTTGTAGGGTTCCCTTCGTCTTCTCCCCTTACTACTTGCTTAGTAGGTGTTGGAGTGTCACTGTTGATGGCCTATGCCCTTGTCAGCGTAGCTAGTGGGGTAATATTAACTCAAGATTCTCCTCATATTACCGCAGTACAGATACAGGCGATGAGTCCACAGGGCTATGACAATCATTACGGACGTTTCCAGTTATCTCGGGCCAAGCCTGGTTTGGGTTTGAGGATGTACGCATCACATTACAATGCCCTGGAGTGCTTCACCATGTTCTCTATTGCGGTACGGTCTGGCTGCTCATCTGGAGGGATTGTCCCCCTCAGGTGATCTTGGGGATCCTCCGTGGGATGGATGAACATCTTTTGGCCAACCTGTCGGCTGTGGTAATCCTAGCTCGTGCAAATTACCACATCTTCCACGCCCTCGACTTCGCTATGTTACGAAGCATCGCTTTCGATACAGCATTCATGGCGATCTTAAGTATCATCATGGAAGCAGCATTCCCTGGTAACGTTGTGGTCAAGTTTATGGCAACAAAGGATTGGACCTTACCTGTCTTGTAATTAACCGGATCGTACGGACAATGATTTTTCTATGACTTTTGAGACACTCCTCTTGAGTTCAATAGTTATGTGGGTTATCTGCTATAGTGCTGTTCTGACTCAGGATGTTTCACGTAGGATACGTGTGCTTTACATGTGTTTTTTACGTAGTGTATTTTAGTAGCTGGGTTCTGAGGTAGTAAAATATCCTATATTCCGAAGACCGTTGAAGCAAGTTGAGAGACCGCGTGGATAGGCTAGTGAGAGGTTGAAAAGCAGATTGACAGGCACTGGAATGTCTAGAATGTACTTTACGATAGTGGTTGTGTGCTGATGAGTATATAGATCAGAGACTGAGTCGTCCGTCCCACAACTGAACCCACTGACCAATGTCTTGGAGCAAACCATCCAATGGGGCGCAAGGATCCACTGGGGATAAGACGGGATCAGGTTTTTCCCGTCAAGCAGAGTCGCGTCTCGGCGGAGTACTCGCCTTCAAGATTTGATACTAATTAGCGGCTTACTATAGGTTTTTCCTGCCAAAATTCGAGGATAACTTTCACTAGAAGTTGCCAGAAAACTGAATATTGGTAACTCGACAAGGGTCACAGCGTGTCACCACCACCATCGTCATCACCACTGCTGCATGGTCCATTATGGTAGACAATCGTGCATGTTATTAAAGGAAGGCCAGTGACCTCTCCAAATGAGCTGTCATCAACGGTGTCCTCAGAAAGTAGGATGCAGCCAAGTCCATCATAGCGTCCATGCCAAACCCTGAATGACGCAATGAATGTCCTCATCTCATAATGATCGTTACCATGATGCTTGCTAGAATGCTTGGAATGTTTGGAGTGTTTGGAATGCTTCTTATGATGCTTGGAATGATGATGATGGTGATGATGATGATGGTGACCATGTTCGTGATGGTCATGATGATGAGCATGGTGATACTTGGCGAGGTTGAAGGCCGACCTATGGTAAGCTACTCTAAGGGCCTCAGTGACAGCAGCTCACGTGATGATCCCATCTGTTGAGAATCCTCCTATGCCTGAAAGAAGTCCTCAAACGACTATCGGCAAAAATTCGACTTACCAACATCACCGTTACCATCAGGGACCGACCCGAAAGAGGTTGAAGGGGAATCCATATGGATGACTGGCATTTATAATCCACTCCTTATAAGGAAGGTCATAGTAATTGACAAACTCTACACAATTGATGGGAACGAGTGCCAGACGACACTACTTGAAACTTGTACACAGACCAACGATGGTCGTCGGAGGATGAAGGGACATTCTCGATGAATAATCATCATCTGCTAGTCTCTATTGAAGCTTCCTGCATCATCTCATAGGGAGATCTCCCACATACCTTGGCACTGACAGAGATCAGCCATAGCGATGCTATTGTAGTTAATCGTGATAAGAAGATCAGTAGTAGTAGAAGAGCTTTATTAACAACAATCGTAATAGTAGAAGCTTCCACGACTATACCATCTAATGGTACTTAGCGAGGAAGTTCTTATGGAAGTCGGCGAGCTTACCGATCATCTCCTTCATCATATCATCAGGAGGAAGGATGGTAATCCTGAAATGGTTGGTACCCTCAACCTCCTTGAAGCCGTTACCAGGGACACAAACGATGCCAGTCTGCTCGACCAAATCGAGACAGTACATAACATCAGCACTGGCGAAACCACGGGCCTTGGCAGCTTCAGTAGCCTTCTTGGGGAGCTCGATGTTGACGAAGGCGTACATAGCACCCTGGACACGTTGGCAACTCATACCCTCGATCTTGTTGAACTCCTGAGAGATGGCCTCGGCCCTCCTCTTAAGACCATCGTAGATGTTCTGACGCTCCTGCTTGAATAGAGGATAGCTGGGGCCGTTCTCAGGGGGAGGAGTGCACATAAGGCCGACGAAGATCTGACCCAAAGTGTTAGAGGAAAGACAAGAGGCTGCAACCTTGTTGAACTGAGCGATAGTGGGCTCATCAAAGCCAACAAGTTCCATGTAACCACCACGCTGACCGCACTCACCAAGGAGACCCTTAGAGGTAGAGTGGAAGCTGACCAGCTGGACCAAGTCAAACTTGCCAGGGTTCTCCTTCTGGAGATCCCGGAGGATCTTCTTGAACGAGTAGAACTTCCTCTCAGTGTAGATGTTCTCCTGATAGACCTCATCAGCCATGATAAGAAGATTGTGATCCCGGGCAAAGGTGATGATGCCGCGGATGTCCTCCTCACTCAAGACGGAGCCACACGGGTTGCCTGGGTTGATAACGGCGATGGCCTTGAGGTTCATACCTTCGCTCACGGCACGATCATAGGAGGTCTGAAGCTCCTGTTGAGAGACACTCCATCCATCCTCCTCCTTGAGGTAGTAGTAGTCATAACGGCCACCGTTCATGGTTAGAGCACAGGAGTAGAGGGGATACTGAGGGCAGGGGAGGAGGACACCATCAACACCGGGCTTGGCGATGATCATATCCATCACACGTTTGATACCCTCAGAGGCACCAGTAGTGAGGAAGAGCCTCTCAGTATCACAAGGATAACCATCACGTCTCTCGATGTAAGCAGCGACCTGCTTCCGAATGCAAGGGAGGCCGGGGCTCATAGTGTAGCCACCAGTGCCGACACCATTACTGCCATCCAAGTAGTACTGGGCAGCGGCCTTGACATCCTCAGGGAACTCAGAAGACTCCATAAGAGCAGGGTAGGTGCAGATAGCAGCAACTTGACGGTAGTAGGTGATGGGCTTCTGACCAACGACCTGCGGGTTGCCGATGTTGCAAGGGATGGTACGATCGAAGGGGACGGTCTTGTCGCCCTCAGCAATACGCTTCTTCATCTCAGCAGCCTTGGCCACGACAGCACCACGGACGGCATACTCTGCCTGTCGGATATTCTGGTTCATGGTCTCAACCGTGAGGGCTTGATTGGTACTAGACATGGTGGTGATTATACTACTGTAAAACTGATAGTGATAACGATGATGAGAAGACACTAAGGTGTATTGAAAACGCTAATAGGAGAGGAGGACCACACAAAGCGAGCTGAAAATGTCACTCTGAAGGGCGGAGCGATACAGCTAAGGCGCTTGATACAAATTGTAGTAGCTTGTATCCACGAGATCGCCTGAGATCTTATAAGCCTCTCAGAGAGTAAATAAGAACCTATTCCGTATCGAACTCCTACGAGGTTCAAATACTTCCATCGAAGGATGGACAGCAACGACCATTTATTATCTTTCGCACGCACGAGCAAGCATGTAGCGCGCGCCACGACAGTCGGATGGTTTCTAGTCGACTACTTGAGAGCATTTATTTGCGATCCAACTTTGTAAATAAGATAGCACATTATAGAATCGCGTTCCACTGAATCTTCAAGCTAGGACCTCGCCAGAGGAAGATTCTAGAATTTCCCTGAGAAATTTTCAAAGCGATTTTTTTTCGTTCAAGTAGATACATACTGTCGCTTCGTAACTGCGAAAAAGATTTTTGTTAAAATAACTGTAATATTCCCTGTGGATGCAAGCACGTGTAAACTACACTAAATTGCGATATTCACTGTCCCTCCTCAGCTTACAGCTCTAGCTTGCTAGCCTACCCCACCAGCAACAAACGAGGTTGGTGAGGATTATAGGTTAGTGTATTGGGGCAATAGGATCCTATCAGTTCATTGAATACACTAAACCAATGGTACCTGTCGAGAGGGAGGTACTTCCTACTAACTTCCAAGTCATACAATATGATGTTCATCTGAAACCATCTTTCGAAACCTCGAGGTAGCAGTCTCGACTAAGCCTTGTAGTTGTCTCATGATCACCCCCTATCATGTCAGGTTCGAAGGTGAAGTTAATGTTCATCTCGAGGTGTTGGAGTCTACGTCCTCGATAGTCCTCAATGCACAGGAGCTACTTATCGATCCTGAGGTAGGTAGTCCTAGGTGCACTCGTAATTATATTTTTCATATATTACTATTTATCATTTCATATTTTCCTCATCTTTCATATGTTTTTGCTATTGGAATATCACTCTAACGTGTTTTTATCAATTGTCACCTCATTCTGATATGTATAAAAACCCCAACATTAATTTTCATAAGTTACTCTGAATTTCGTTTCGCGATATATACATTATTCTCGACATGATTTTTTTCTGAATCTAATTTTGTTATAATATGTACATAAGGTACGGTACCTTGGTGGTCTTTGATTGCAATTTCACAATTTGGTTCGTTAGGTTACTTTTAAGTATGATAATGAGGTGTTGATGGCTAAACAAGTGATAGTAGATGTTAACAGGACCGAAGTTGAGTTCAAGTAGTCCTGGTAGTATTTTTATCTTGTTTTTAATTTTGATTCTTTTAGATTCCCCAAAGAACTCCGTAAAGGAGCTGGTGTTTTAACTGTCAAGTTCGTGGGGACTAATAATGATAAAATGTGTGGATTTTACCGGTCTAAGTAATATAAACTATCGAACTCACATCAATGTCCTTAGTAGTAGTCCTTCGAATAACACTATGCATTGTGGTTGCCAGCGCATCTGAATAGGCCCCGCAGCCGCCGCTGCATCCGTGTGTTTAGGTACACTGATCTCGATGGGGAAAGCCATTATATGTTGACGACACACTTTGAAGCGTGGTATGCTCGTAGGGCTTTCCCTTGTGTGGATGAGCCTGCGAGGAGAGCTATCTTTAAGATTACTATCACCACTGAAGCTGATAAACAGGTAGTAGGAATGCATTCATCCTGGTGACCAAATTAAGTATATAATCAGGTTGTGTCGAACATGCCTGTAGCCTCAAGAGAAGTGTTTAAGGGTGGCAAGGATAACAAGACCGTTTATCAGTCGGTCGAGTTTATGCCGACTCTTAAAATGAGCACTTATTTGATCGCATTTTGTGTGGGAGACTTCGAATGCGTGCAGAAGATGACGAAGAATGGCACGTTGGTAAGTACTTGCAGTTTAATTTTTGCAGTTGACTTATCGCGAAGGTTCTATTCCCGGCGGTTGTATTTCTGCTCAGGTTAGAGTGTTGTGCACTCCGGGTAAGAAGTGCTTGAGTAACTTCGCCTTAGATGTCGGTGTGAGGGCCCTCGAATGGTAAGTTATGATGATAATTCTACTTCACGTTTTATTCATCGTACATCAGGTACGAGGAATTCTTCGCAACGAACTATCCTCTTCCCAAACTGGACATGATTGCCATTCCTGATTTTGCTATGGGTGCGATGGAGAATTGGGGTCTGGTTACGTTCAGAGAAGTTGATCTCTTGTGTGATGCAGAGAAGGTAATAAATGGTAGTGTCAGGGATCGAACTTGGGTTGTTTGCTGGATGGTGGGAGAATTTACCATTCTGCTATTTAGGCCTCCTTTGCGAGTAAAGAGCGTGTTGCTACAGTTGTAGCACATGAGCTTTCCCATATGTGGTTTGGTGATCTTGTGACTCTGAGCTGGTGGGATCAACTCTGGCTGAAGGAAGGATTCGCGAGGTTCATGCAGCATCTGTGTACTGATCAGGGACTGTTCCCTAAGTGGAGAATTTGGAACTAGTAAGTGACGTTTTTAGTGATAGTTTATTGTGAATTGTAGTGTCTACATACAGCGTGGGAAATATGCGCATGGTCAACTGCATGTGTTGGTGATAATATAAAAATTCTTGAGAAATTTTGAGAAATTCTCATTCGTTTGTGTACACTTGTGGTCGAATATGAATGTTAACTCCTATGATTGGTAAGAAAGTTTCTGAGCTCAGCTGAGCGAAGCGAACATATATCCTTCCGTCACTGCTATAGATAAATACTAAGTACAATTATTCCAATTGTATTTATGACGAAACCTACTCAGTTACATGACGACGTGTTATGAGAAGTGTCTGCAGATGGACAGTCTAAGATCGAGTCACCCTATTGAGGTTGAAATCCACAGAGCTCATGATGTTGAACAAGTAAATATGTGGGAATTATTTGAATCTATTGATATATTGGTCCTCAGGTATTCGATGCTATATCCTACGATAAAGGCTCGCAGGTCCTCCGAATGCTTTATGCTATCCTGGGCGCTGATACGTTCCGTAAGGGCTGTCAGTTGTACACTAAGAAGTATCAATATGGCAGTACGGTTACTGCTCAACTTTGGGAGGCGTTCGAAGAGGTATGGTATTATGAGCTGGTAATAATCCCTATTATTATTTATCGGTTAGGCGTCCGGTCAGAAGTTGAAAGAAATGATGGCTAGTTGGACTGAGCAAATGGGCTATCCAGTGATCGAAGTCGGCCCAATCGTTGGTGGCCATAAATGCCATGTGAAGCAGTCCTATTTCCTTGGTGACGGTTCTGTCCAAGATGGTGACTCAGAAAAGCAATGGATTGTCCCGATATTCGTCGGTAGTGACAAGACCCCTGAGGGCGACAACGGTGACCTTACTATTATGAATGAGAGAGAAATTGAGATTCCTGTGGATGCTACTGCGAAATGGATCTTATTCAAGTTTGGTGCTTTGGCTCCCTATAGAGTGCAGTACAAGTCTACCGACATGTGGGAAGCCATTCTAAGAGGCATCCAAGCTGGCGAGCTCTCAGTGAAGGATCGTATTGCTGTTATTGATGATATTTGGGCAATGGTCAAGGCCGGTCGGGCTAAACCAGAGGAGGCGGTGAAGACGCTGAAGGTGTTTGCTAAGGAAGATGATGCCGATGTATGGCAAGCACTGAGAGGCGTTATAGGTGGTATGTCTACGTTATGTAAAGGACTTGGTCAGCTACAAGGACTCAATCGTTTGGTTGCTGCTATGGTCGCCCCTGGACTTAGTCGAGTTGGATGGTTTGCTACGGGGGGTGAGGATATCAAAACTCGACAGTTGAGGTGCAATTTGGTGGCTCTTGCGAGCGTGCATTGTCGCGATAATAAGGAGTATGTTGGGAAAGCTCAGGAAATGATGGAAGACTTCTTCACCGACAATGCTGGTTTGGCTGACGATGTCAGACAGTCTGTGTTCCGCTTGGCTCTGGGGGGATCTGATGCGGAGGTTTCGGAGAAATTATGGTATAAACTTTTGAAAGTTGCTGAGGATCCTCATACACGACAGGGAGTAAGAGTCGATGCTTTCGCTACTCTAGGGTAAGTCATTATATCATACTACCACTCCATTATCAAATTATCGTTGTATACGTCATCCTGCTATTATTACTTGTAGATCACCTTATCAGTGGTGAACAGGTACGTCACGCAACCTTCATTGAAGCAGCGTACATTGGACTGGTCTTTGAGTTCTTCCGTGAAGCCCCAAGACTTCTTCCAGCCCATGTTAGGTCAGTCATTCCTGATCCATACGGTGTGTACATTTCTAGTGTCAGGTGTTCGAGCATCGAGTGAAGAGTCGGCCAAGTTGTGTTGGACGTGGTTGGAGGCCAATTTCCCCGCCGTTTTCGCCCGGGTATCAACGTCCAGACCCAATCTTCTCACAAACGTTTTCAACTGCTGTGCTGGAGGCTCTTACAGTGAGGACATGGCTCAACGAGTGGAGATTATTGCTGATAAATATGACCTTAAAATTGTAAGTGCTGCTGCATGTCGGTAACTCCTCTGATCATTTCTTGTGGTTCAGGTCGCTAGAGCTTTATCCCAGCTATGCGAGTCGATAAGGTCAACTGCGCGTTTGGTTGATTCTGCCAAGTCGAGCGTCGTGGCATCTGCTGATTTCTGGTCGGCTTTGGTGGAATTTGAGTGATATGACCACTCACGGTATTTAGAATTTCAAGTTTCGCATCAAAGTTTCATCCTATGGGGTCTCGCGTTAAGTAGCGGGGGAGCTGCAAGCTCAATCCGCAAATGTCAAGATGCGTTAAAGGGCTAATGTATGTTTTTGCATCTAAAGAGAATAGTTACGACTCGGACGAGTACACATGTACAGTAATTTAAGAGAATACTTTGGCCTGCTTAGTAAGGTCTGCTCATCCAGCTGCGTGGGGCTCATCGTTCGTGTTTGTCCTTGACTCAGCGGAATAGTAAGCACCGCTGAGCCGTCGTATCGATTTGGTGAGTGTTAGTGGTAATGGATTAGAATAAAGCGAGCTCGCATTTTTACGGTAGTAAGTGTGAGTCTTCGCAGAGATCGAGGTTCTGAGAAGTCTGTGAATGTTCAGTTTGGAACATGATGTCGTGAGCAAGGAATCGAATTTGGTAGGACACATAGTACATAGTGTTGAAACTTAAGTATGGATTGCGAGTCATGGTCAAGGAGTTTTGCCGGGGATTATCATTCATGGCACTTTTATAGTATATGCATGCATCGAGGGAATGCATTAGTTGAGGTTAATTCTGCGTTGCAAGTAGCACGGTGCGATTCCGGCGTATATTGCCTGGTTCGTGCTCTATTGTACGAGCTTGCGTCGTTGGTAAAATTCTATGGGAACACCAATAATTCAGTTTTGTAATAGACGGCTTAGAACGCATACATAATATTACGATTCAATGCTCTGTTTATTGTTGCGTTGAAACCAATTGTTGGGGACGCTTTTGCCGGGACTTTTATCTCAAGGGTAGCAGCAAGTCAGAGAAATTTAATTTATTACACGGTGGTAGGCTGATCAGTAGTTTAGGTGACGTGCATGTTGCGAAAATCATAAATATAGGTATATTCAAGTTAACGTTGCGTAGATTACTGTATATGGAAGAAGTGAAAGCTTTGCTATTCTATATAAATCGATTGAATGTCCCTTCCGTGTATTAATCAAGTAGCAGAGTGAAAGACAGTCCTATAATTACCGTGTTCGAAATGGAAAAAGAAATAATCGTTCACAATTTCGGCATGTCCTCAAATTTAGCGTCCTTGAAGTGTGACGTGTAAGTAGCCGTCAACTGGTTTAACTGAGGATAATCCTCAGTTCAAATCAGTTGAATATGTCCTCAGAATTTCGACATAGTTTTATACGTCGTATAGATCACTTCATTTCAAACGTTGAACTTTCCCTAGGAGAGTATTCCGTGGTTTCCCTGCAACGGACGCATGTATTGGTAGCAATTTGTCACCGGGAGGCACAGCCACACATCGAAGGAGCTTCGCAGTCGCAGTCATACAATGTTCCGAGCATTTGACATGAATTGACAGCTCGAAATATAGTGCTGTTAAGCTGTATGCTGTTAGCGATGAGCTGTAACGTTTGCTTACCAACGAGAAGCGCATGTGATCACGAACCGAACCATCCGAACGATGTACGCGTAGCTGAATGAGTCGAATTGTGACGTACGCCGTATGTCAGAATTGGGATACTTGTAGATAGACGATGACATGTGGAAGGTGGACCATCGGGATGAGGGGTGCAATGCAGGTGGGCATACACAGTGGTTGTAAATATGCTTGTTGTAAGCTTGAGATGTGTACGGCCCATTGGGTTCAATCACGTTCCGTAGCGACCTGACTGTACTACAGTCTTGGATTCGAGAAAACTGAGCAAGTATGTGTTCAATATGAATGTGAGCAGCAGCCAGTCCAGGTAGAGGGTGTAATTCACGTACCCAAGGCTCGCTGAGCGAGCCTCTCTCCCCGCACTAGCTACTTGCTCGCACGGCTTGCCCAAAGAAGAATACTGTCTGGCTGAGACTACCAACCAATTATCCCAACTTACAGAAAATTGTGGAGTACAACACCAAAGGAGTAAACACAGCTGCCTCCCAGTTTACAACTCTATTTGGTGTTTCACCTCTTCATCTTCATCCAGCTCACTGACTGATACGATCCATGACGGATTACCCGTTGTTCCATGAGGTCCTCATAACAAGGAGGCACTCCTTGATGCTCGATCTACCGACGGTTCTACTGCGAATGATACCAGCGCTCGTTCGTCGACCATTTCATATGGCTTTCCGCGTCAACCAACTTAGAGGTGTGAGTATTCTACCATGACACAACTAATATCCGTGTTCATACCGTCACGTGGTTTCGCAGTATTACCGTGGCTATTAGCGATATCCGTTAAGAACAATATCATTCCAGTGCTGGAATATATCACCCGCTTATGTAAACTGCGACGAGATACTAGATCTGACAAAGAAGTGCTGGACCAGTACTTTTTGATCAAATTTAGTACCTCGGGGGGCCACGACGAGAGTATTCGTCGAGCACCAGTACTACTCACATGGCGAGATCTCCAAGTTGGAAATTTCAACCAGAGATCGGGCTCATCGATAAGGAACTGAAGAAGTTTTTATCGTTCTCATTGACAGCGAGAGTGGTGTTACAATCATAAGCATGAGTACCTGCTGCCTATAGTGTACGACGATGAACAGTTCGCGATTTCTTTGACGAGGGGTTCGAGACTTTGGTCTGAAAATATCAAGATTGCTTTCGGAGCAACGTGAGTGAAAGGGAGGGTTCATTCAAGCGAAGCCTGTGTCTTACTGGCCAGAGCCAATAGTAGAAGGTTCATTTACACACGCTCTTCCGACAGAAGTCTCCCAGTAATTTCCCTTTCAGAAACGTTCTCAACACTTTCTCGGTTAAATTTCAGGCGGGAGTTGAAGTGGTTCGTAAGCGAGTTAGCCATGAGAAGTCAACTGCGGAATACAGCTCCCCGTCCATCTCAATTGCATGGCTCAACTGGAGCCACTCAAGGGTCGATCTATTTACTTGGATTCTTTTCTGATTGGTCATTGATGATCAATATCGTTTAGACCCCGCCGCCTCGGGACTGAACTCATAGACGATTAGGAATCAACGTAGATGTTATGTGACTCAATCACTGGACGGAACACGACAGAACAATCTGTTAAGAACCTGTGTCCTGTAAGAGCTTCATAAGCTATATGTCATCGATCAACTTAGCGCATATAGCAAACATCCACTGGCACAGTAAAAAACGACTCATCTATACTCGACCAATTAGACTCTCTTCAAGAATAGGCGTATACTCGAAGGATTGGTTTGTAGTGGAAAGATATCAGGAGCGGTCCGGTAATCCCCGATTCAATCGGGATACCACAGAGAGGGTACCACATAGATCTGGGAACCGGGCCGTTCAAAAAAAGTGTACACTAAAACAACACCAATAGAGTACACCGTACTCCAATCAGTAGTCTAAAGATTGGGTGAAAATGTTGATGACCTAAAGGCCCAGGTAGACGAGAACAGAAATTCCCCCGCCGAGAAAGGTCCATCGAGGACTCGGCCGAGGAAAATCCTCGTCGACTTTTACCTACTCATCTGAGAGCTTCACGAGTAGTAAAATGCAGCATGAAGTAAAGAAGAATTATTCTTGGCGGGTAAGTCATTCAGGATGGTCGGCAAACTGAACCCGTACAAAGTCTTTTCCTCAATGATACGAGTCTTCTCCACAACTTGTTTCTGTGACTGGTAGATATAGCCATCGAAGTGACCGTCCGAGTAGGGAGGCGCACCCTTCTTGATCAGTTCCTTGTAATCGATAGGTCGATTAGTCCTCTCCATGAAGCCGAGAGTTTCAACCTGAAGTGAGTTACAACGAATGAATGCAAGATTGTCGACTAGTAATCTTCCAAACGTGACACGCTATAGCGGACAGGGGACTTCTGATGGCTTACTGAAAGTTCCAGTTTTTGAGGTGGTATCCCGAGGTTGATGAGGTAATCAACAGTTTTGCGTGCGACCGTGTCATTAATAACGCTCTCGTCGGTAGGTCCCGGATGTCCAAAGTGAACCGATATGACATCGAAGTAGTCTTCAATCTTGGATAACTTGATATAGTTCCACAGGGGTGAGTCTTCAGGCTCCACAGCGAAGCTGAAAACGAACATGAATGTCGCGGTTGCCAGCTCAGATCAGTAGACTCATACTTGAAGCTTGAGAACGGAGTTATGAGGATGCCGTACCTACCCAATCGAAGCTCTGACTGGCTCCCCAGACTTGGTCACCAAGTTGTGGCGGATATGTTGCTCACATTCTGCGCGATTTGCCAGAATAATTGCTGGCACGCTCTGCCCAATGAAATATCTCACCTCCTCT